CCGGGCGCCCGGTACCCGCCTAGGCTCGGACGACGGCCAGGCCTGCTCTTCCGCTAAGAGCCATCTGCCGCAGCCCCTGAGCGCCGAGGTCCCCTGGCGAGGATGCTCGGGTCGGGGCGGCCTGCCGGAAATCGAGCTCCTGCGGACCAAGCGCCTGGAGTTTCTCCAGCAGCGACATTTGGCCAGCCGTGGCCTGGTTGTGCCAGAGCCGGACCACGGCTATCACAGCCTCGAGGAGGAGCAGCAGCATAAGGGCGTCTGTCGAGAAAAGGCAGGGCAGCAGCAGGCGCAGCGGTGTGGTGCCTGGGAGCTGAAGCGTCCCGAGGAGCAGCACGGCACAGGGAGGCAGCCTGGAGACAGCTGCTTGGAACAGGAACCGAGGAGTTCCCCTGAGATGGCTGCTTTTGGGGGGGAAGCCTGTACTGACGAAGAGGAAGATGATGCAGACTCTGAGGTAGAGCAAAACTTGCCAGTTTCAGCCAGGCCCGCCTGTGCTAATAAACTAATAGGTTATATCATAGGGGGAGCTTCCAGTGGGGAGGAGAGTGCAGATGATGAGGAAGACTGGGATGACGACGATGGGTTCGATAGCGAAGGGCTTCTCTCGGATTCAGATGCTGGGAGCCAGAACGGGGAAAGATTGCATCTCTGGAATTCCTTCTACAGTTTGGATCCTTACAACCCTCAGAACTTCACAGCTACCATTCAGACAACTTCCAGTGATCCAGAAAAGGATATGCCCTGTGGGTCAGATATGGAAGAAGAAGAGGAGGAGGATTCCTGGGCAGAGGAGTCTTCAGGCTCTCCTGACCCTAGTTCTGAAGAGGATGACGAATGGGAGTGTAGTAGTGTGGATGAGGCAGAAAATTTGAAACTTTGGAATTCATTCTGTACCTCAGATGATCCGTATAATCCTTTTAATTTCAAAGCGCCCTTTCAAACAGCAGGAAAAAAAGGGAAGCCTAGTTTACAAGGAACAGAGAGGCTGGGTTTGGTCACTTCTGAGTGTAGTCACTTAACAGTCTGTCCGGTACAGCTGGAAAAGCAGAATTGTGACATCACAGACTCTGTGCAGCAGGGCATTCTTTCTGGTGAGAAATGTGGAAGTTCCAAGAGAAAAAAGGTATACTTCACTTCAGTTCGCGTTTTTGTGTTTTGGGAACGCTTAATTTAAAAAAAAAAAAAAAAAAGCAATATGTGGAATGGTCTCGGATTCAGATGCTGGGAGCCAGAACGGGGAAAGATTGCATCTCTGGAATTCCTTCTACAGTTTGGATCCTTACAACCCTCAGAACTTCACAGCTACCATTCAGACAACTTCCAGTGATCCAGAAAAGGATATGCCCTGTGGGTCAGATATGGAAGAAGAAGAGGAGGAGGATTCCTGGGCAGAGGAGTCTTCAGGCTCTCCTGACCCTAGTTCTGAAGAGGATGACGAATGGGAGTGTAGTAGTGTGGATGAGGCAGAAAATTTGAAACTTTGGAATTCATTCTGTACCTCAGATGATCCGTATAATCCTTTTAATTTCAAAGCGCCCTTTCAAACAGCAGGAAAAAAAGGGAAGCCTAGTTTACAAGGAACAGAGAGGCTGGGTTTGGTCACTTCTGAGTGTAGTCACTTAACAGTCTGTCCGGTACAGCTGGAAAAGCAGAATTGTGACATCACAGACTCTGTGCAGCAGGGCATTCTTTCTGGTGAGAAATGTGGAAGTTCCAAGAGAAAAAAGGTATACTTCACTTCAGTTCGCGTTTTTGTGTTTTGGGAACGCTTAATTTAAAAAAAAAAAAAAAAAAGCAATATGTGAATGGTGAGGTCATTTGTGCCGGGATTCCAGCCACAGTGGTAGGCATATGATACCCACTTGAGCTTGTGGTCTAATTATTTGACTGATGTCAGTGTGCCACATCTTTGTCACGTGATGGCAGATTGTGTAATTCAGTGGCATGAGCCAGATAACTTAATTTCTTTAAATTTCTTTTCTTGACTGTAAATATTCAATGCAAAGCATAGGTCTCTCTTCAGTCTATATTTATGTATTACAATGTAGTTTTCCTCATCTGAGAATCAGATGAGAACTGTGTGAGCTACCTGTTCATTTTCCTCTGGAAAGCATCCTTTGGGTTATGAATGATGTTGATAAAACGTTCTAGGACCTCTGTGCCTAGTATAATTGAGATTTCAGACATTTAGTTGTAGCATGTAGACCTCTAACAAGCCAGCTTGAGTATTTTACAGCAATCATGTGCCTTTGGGATAGTAAGAACTCTTCTGTTGTGGGCTAACACACCCTGCAGAAGTCGTTAAAGTTTTCTATATATATGTATTAATGCTTCTATTTCTGGTTAAGTGATTGATATTTGTAATCCAGGAGTTTTGGGGTCTTTAATTTGTTTTTTCCAAAATACTTAATGTGGCTTCTAAACTCAAACTGAACTCTTCTAAAGTCTAACTAGGCTTCTAAATTCAAACTGAAAGTATAGCATTTGTATGAGGAATTAATTGGCTTGGTAAAACAATTTCTAATGTGTGGGCTAAGATTTAGGTAGCTTAGTAATGAATTTAGCTTCTAATAAATTTTATGTTGCTGTGGATGTACAACATTGCTTTTTGAGGATGATGTACTTCTGAGTCTTGCCTAGTATTTCAAACATTTGTGAGTCACAGCTTGTAATAGGAAGTCCCAGGATAATACACTCGTGTAACAACTTAGCAAAGTGGAAAAGTTGGATAATGCTTTCTAAAGCATTCTCAGTCGAGACAGGTGATTGCTCCTTTGAGACAGTGGCTTGGAGGTAACCTCCCACTTATTTTTGCTGGAGCAAGTGATAGTTCCGAATGTAACAATTGAACAGACGAACTATTGTATTTCCATTTACTTGGAAAGTGCTCAAAGTTGAACTATTTTTGTGAGAGGTATTTGGTAACTAACAACATATGTCTGAAACACTACACCCTAGCATTGATGAACCCTGCAGCAAGTTCACAGTTCCATAGCTTAAGTCTTCTTGCATGTTAGAAGTGTGAACTTCTTGTTTGCTTCTTGCAGTAGTAATTTTTTTGGCTCCCCTGCTTTCAAAACAGTGTTCCAATTGCTGCATAATCTTTCTAGTGGCACCATGAAAGAACAATGATCTAGACGCAAGATTTAGCATGATGTTACAAAATCCAGTAATTGTACCCAAGGGTATCTTAGACTGATGTAAAAAGGATGAAAGGTAGTAAGTCGCGCAGGGATAGGCTGATGTAACAACACTGTGTGCTTGAAAGCAGATGCTTAATAAGGCCTCTCTGCAAAACTAACAGAGATCGCTGAACAATGATTGAGGCGTTCCAAAGAAATCTTCAGGTCATTCATCCTGGTCAAAGCTATTTTCTGTATGCCATCCTGTAATCAAACAAACCGCAGTATTCTTGTTTTTAAAGTCATAAAACCTGGGAGTGTTTTGTTTCATTTAAGAGTTAGCAAGTGCTCAAGGAACATGTGGGATCTGATGTGCCATGGAATATTGTATTAAAAGCAAAGCTCTTTATTGCAACTTGTCCAATTAAAAATTGACTTTTGGTTGTTATGATCCCTTTCAGAGAGATTAGTAAAGCCGTTTGTTGTTGTTGTTGTTTTTTTTCAAGTTTGCAGTGTATAAACTGAGTTTAAGCTCACTGGTGTGGCCACAAGCTTGCTTTCTTTTACTTTTTGCAGATAACGCCAAAGTGGTTTGGGATCACTGCACTAGAATCATTAGATAACTTCTTACGGTTATGTTCAGCAGTCCTTTATGACTGTATAGCCTCTCCTGTTGATTAGCCCTATAGATTCATCTCTTCCGTAACTTTTTATCTTAATGTTTTCTGTGAAGGTTAGAAGATGGCACTAGGACAAAAAGCAGTCTCACCGTATGCTCTTTAATTGTGCCACCATGAACCAGGTGTGAAACTGCAATTCTATATTAATAAAACATAGAAATGGAGCAGTAGTAGTTTTGTACACCTCTCCAAATTTCTTCTGAGCCTTCTGGAAGCTAAATAACCTATGTAGTCTTTGTGCAGTCTTAAAGTAGCTGTACTGGAGCAAATTCACGAGGTACACTGATTACGGAGTCATCTGTAATTACAATAACTGCCTTGTCTTCAGGAATTAGTCCTAGTCTAAGAGTTGATGGAATCTTTGAAAGCTAATTGGTTTTGTCCTTCAGTTCTAAGCCTTTTATATGAAAAGCAATGCCTACTTCAGTAGGAGTCTTAAAGTATGGTTTGGCTTTTGCTTTTTGCTTGATACAGAAAAGGTGAAATCCTTAGTACAGCAGTAGGCTAGGTACTGTTAAGTTTGGGTTCTGAGCCTGTAGGTTTCTTTGTTTTCTTAATAGAGTTTTAATAGCCCTTAAAAATATTTATATTCTCCCTTAGAGTGATGCTAATGATTTGCGTGTAGCTTTTTTTAAGTGATAGCGTGGAAAATCTTGGTTATGATATGTTTTTATAGCACCGTGACGTTGATTTATTTTCCTTGTATGAACTTAAATACTCTGGAATTTGATACTAGCTCTGAATAGATTGGTTTGTTCCAGTCACGTACTAATGAGTGTTGCTTCCTTAAACGTAGCATTCCTTTCCGGTGCTAAAGTACAGGCTGACTCACATGATTACTCATTCTGTAGAACAATGATTTTTATTTATTTATTTATTTAAGATGCTTCAGTAATTAGGTAGCATATTTTTAGCTTTAAATCGGTGTTCTGGCCTATCCTAAGTAACCTCCTTGAGTCCAGTCCAGGACTGATGTCAGGGGGTATGTTATTCCACAGGGCCACTTGATCTGGAACATTGTGTGGTCTTCCCTCTGTTTAATGAGGCCTCTTAGACCGTAGTTCAGAAACTAAGTTGAGCGCTACTTTCAGTAGAGGGAGAAATCAGCACCTGGAAGTGAGGTCACTTTAAAGCTGAAGTGTAACTCATCTATTTAATAAAGGCAAGGTACACTGTTGTCTAGGTGGTGCAGAGACCTGTGTAGCATAAACTGATTCATATTTGGGTTTTCTTGCTATTTTAGACATATAATAACCACCTTTTTCACAAAACATTAGAAATAATTGTATGTGCAAATAAGGATTGAACTCTTTTTCATGAATGTTTGCTCAATGCTTTAATGCTTGTCTCTTCCAGGTAACCTTCCTTGAAAAAGTTACTGAGTATTATATAAGCAGTGAGGAGGATCGTAAAGGACCCTGGGAAGAACTTGCGCGAGATGGGTGCAGATTCCAGAAACGGATCCAAGAAACAGAAGATGCCATAGGATACTGCTTAACAACAGAGCATAGACAAAAAGTATTTAATAGACTCCAAGAAACTTATTACAAAAGGCTTGATCTCTTGTAGCACCTTAAAAGATTTTCAGTTGTGTGATCCTAAGCACTCGTGAACACCTTCAAAACAACAAATGGCAGCTGCCTATGTTTTGATATGGGGGGTGAAGTGGGGTTTTAACACTTTGTCCCGATTGAATATTCAGCCAATGAATTTACCAATGTGCGTCCCATTTTGATATCTAAACGAAACCTTTTGAGTCTCAAGGGTGAGGAGTGGTATAATTGCATTCCTTTTGAGTAGCACTTGAGAAACAGACTGCTTTAGACTAAATCCATTCCAAAAATGCCTTGTCTGCCCTATGTTGAGAAGTGGTGGCTGTTAAGTTGGAATTTTGCACTTTGAAAAAGCAAAACCTATTTTGAAGGAAATATTTATGGGGCTCAGAACCCAGGTATTGCAGTTTTGATTTAAAGTTTGAAAATGCGTGTGCTACTTTCTTGTGTTTCTCCATTTTCTTTAACTTGTAAAAAAAAAAAAAAAAAAAGACGTCTTGAATTTTGCTAGCTATTAATGTTAAATTTACTGTGCAAAGTAGGTACTTTTTTCCTTCCTTTTAAGATCCTAATTTTGCATGCAGTTTGGTGTTTGAGCGTTTATGTAACATTTACTCTGATGTCTTAATATCTCAGTCTAGAACACTGGGGGTTTCGTTTCAAGTGAACTCTGGTGCACTACGAGCCCTTTGGTTTGTTTTTATTTAAATAGTATCTTTGCCTGGTACTGTTCCAAAGGGTGTTGGCTGCTTGTGCACCAAGGCTGTTTGCTTTCAGGGCGCTGAAAGGCCTCATCCTAATCCTGTCCTCATTGGTAATTTAAACTGCAAGGCATGTGTGAAAGTATGGGTGATAATCTGAGTTTAGGTGTAGAAATAGGGAACTAAGCCTTAGTTCTTTAGTCGCTCTTGAAGGAACTTCACCATAATTGAGTCTGCTTCCTGAAGATGGATTCAAGTGGCAGATTTTTCATATTTCTTGTATCCGGTGTACTTGCTCTGGTACTTGTAAGGAGAGTTATCTTTGATTTATGGAAGTCTAGGGTTGCAGGTTTCTGTGTTCTTTACCAAAAGCCAGTATTAATACCTCTATGTGTCTGCACTTTTGTTCAACTGCTACCAAAATAACATTTCACGTTTCGGGTCTGGAAGTTTGAGAGGTCCTCAGTGGAATAAAAACACTCCTTATTTGTGTTCCTAACTCAAAATATTTAGTGCTGTTTCAGTCCAAATAAAAAGGCAGCGCCATTTGGATATGCTCTTGGAACTGAAGGATGTCGAGTGGCTGCTGTCTAAGCAGAAATGAGGTGGTGCAATGGAATAAATATCAAACATCTAAAGGGTTCAGATCTGTTTTCATGAAGTTGCTTGAATAAATGATTTGCTACTTGGTTCATTCAGCAGCTGGCTAGAGTTGCTTTTGGAAGGGGGAAACCTAGACACTTCAGATGTGTAATCTCAGTGAACTGAAATCTTAATTCAAAAGAAAAGTACAGATACGTGGAGAGAAGAGTTTATCCAAGTGACAGACTTTGCCGAGCTTTACTGCATTTTCTGCTTTATCTTGTGGTCTTTCTGGCTGTTACTTTAAATTCTATCTTTAAAATTTCAGAGCTTTTGATTTGACATGTTATTCTCATTGCCTAAGGAATATTCTTTGGATTTAAAAGTTTTTTTTCTCTGTTACAAGAGAAATATTACTGTGATAAAAGTCAGAGGCTTAGCAGTGAACTGTAGTAGAGCTGCCATGTGAATTTAAAATATGGCTGGAATTCAGGCGGTCTTAAAATTAGGTACTTGAAAGCCATGCAACACTTACTTTTAATCCCAGTGCAATAAACAAGTCAGGTTCTCTGTTCCTACAAAAGCTCTCACCTGTGAAATCTCAATTCAAATCATGCTCTCAAATCCTATGAAGAGGTTTTAATTTCTAAGAGTTCATTTTCCTATATCACATTTGATAACAATTGTTCAGCTCTTTATTTAAAGCATGCAGGATGATAAATGTGTTAGAATTGTAACATACTTTTTTGAGTTAAAGTCCAGACGTGGCTCATAAGTAAAAATGTTTTTGTTGCCTTTGGTAAAATATACAAGAGGTTTGACCTTGGAGGAATTGTTGCTGCTTCAGTTACTCCAGATAACTCACTTGGCTTACTAGTGTTTGTAAAGAAGCCTTAGAATGATGTAAATAAACACGCAGATACTGATGCGCTATTTGCAACGGCTAGGAAAAGGACTACAGCTGGAACTGAACAGAGTACATAAATTAGGTATGAACTAGATTAAAAGCTTCTGCTTCTGAAAGTGCTTCTAACATTAAAAAAAAAATCCTATTTTCAGCCTGCAGTGTACCAAGGACTCTCTTCTTCCACCTATGAATAAACACTGCTGATTTTTGTTGAAATGTATCTGCTTGCATAAGCGTTTGCCCCCCTCCAAACGTTTTCAAAATGTCAAATGTAAGGAACTAGGATAATATTCTAACACTAACTTCATAAACAGAAATGTTGAGAAATAAAGCCACTTAAAAGCAAGATAAGCTTATTTTGTCACCATTTTCCCTTAACATATCTTAAAATGATCATGCAGGATGTGTAAGTGGCTTTGAGTGAGACAGTAAAAATAACACTTCTTAGACTTTAAATCAAAACTGTAATTATCAGATTTTATTTTTGTATGATTTAGAGAGAGTTAGAAAACCTTCAACATTGGCTTTATACAGATTTTAATTGATTTGTGTCGCGTTTGTTGGGTTTTTATATCTAAAGTTATATTTCTGTACATAAAACTATTCAGAACTAATCTGTAAATTGTAATAAAGATATTTGCAAGATAATGACAAGTTGTTTTTCTTTGAAAAAAATTACAGGAGATGTATTGGATAACTTTGCAAAGCATCATACACATACTGGATCTGGTGGCATTTGTCTAGACAATACTACATGTTGGTTCTCATCAGCGTATCAAGTAGAGATGCAGTGCCCTGTGTGCTTTTTTCTTTTAACAAGATTGTGCTCTCTGTGTGTGAGCAGTTTGGTGTTTAAAGCTTTAAGTGTATGTTTAGTTTTATAGGAACATCAAATATTTCTTGTTGGTGATGAAGAACAGGTTGTAGTAATTTAGAATTAGGCAGTCTTACCTTTGAACTTCCCTCTGAACCAATACATCTATGTGGTTGTAAGGTATTCTAATGAATTCAGCTTTTAAACTAAAATGCAAAGTGAAATTGCTTGCATTGAAATCGGGTATTGCTGCAAGTCGTTGCTTTGGTTGAGTCTGGGTATTGTAGATTTTGTTTTAGTTTGCTCACTGGTTAGCCCAGCTGTTTATATATGAATACGTGGGTGGCTTTGAAGGTATTCCATGGGATTTTTTTGAAGTGCTTTTGGGCTTCTGCCCTGAAATAAATTTGAGCTGTAGTCTTGTGAATAGAAGTGACCTCAAGGTGCCAAACATCAGGTCTTTAATCAGAGAAGAGCTGGAAACGCTTTTCTGTCTTTTGCTGTGTAGCATTGGCTTTTAATGCAGTGAATTACTTATTCTCTTGGTTTTGTTTTGATGAACTGAAGTAAAATGTTTGGTAAGGAGCTTGGAATATGTGGGAATATAGCACGGTGGTTGTGTCTAATGAGACCTAATCCTGCACAGGATTATCCAACTTTTTTTTTTTAACGTGAAAGTAGGATCTTGCAAAATTGTGCAGCTTGGATGGCTGTTTGGGTCAGCTGCACTTTGCTTTTTTGGGTGGGAGAAGGCGGTTTGAAACACAGCGTTGTTCTATTGTGAGTGGTAGGTGGGATGACAGCAACACATGCGCCTCATCTCACAGTCATGGGGAGAAGCCGCCACGCAGAGTGACTTGCAGACACAAGATAACTTATTTTTCAGGGTTCCTGGGGTTTACTGGAAATGACGCTAGCCTGGTTGTACATCCAGGTAATGAGGATAATGGGCTGGCTTCCTCCAAAGTGGAGGTTTTGATGACTAGTGTTGCTAGCAGTGTAGCCCCGACGTTCTTCGTGCGACAGGGTCACAGCATAGGAATCCCTTGAATGACTTCACGAGCCATTAGGTTAGCCACCCCTCTTCTAGAGTGAGATTTTGAGGGGAACTTTCAAATTATTGTTTGTTTCCTTTAGTTAATGCCTTAAGGAAAAGCAGTGCTTAGAGCTAAGCGTTAGAATAAGAGAGACGGTACTACTTGTTCATGTCTTGCAGCACAAGCAATAATTCACTTTGCACCTGAATCTTTTCTAGGCCTCTGTAGAACCAGCATTGTCCAGTACTTGTTTCTGTAACGATGTCTTGGATAGAAAACTGCTAGACTAGATAAAAACATTTTCTGAACTCTGTGGAATACTTAGCCATACAACTCTCAGTAGTTTAAAATAGCGACCAAATCTAGGTAGTTAACCATGAACTACGATGGTTTTCTAGAAGGTAATCTTCACCTGTTCTTCTGGTGGCTCTAAAATCTGCCCTATGGCGCAAAGAGTGAATAACAGTGAATGCTACATTCTCTTTATTCATTGTGATAGTTTAAATATAGTTGGAGCACATGATGAAAGCTTTTATGTATCTGGCAGTGCATCGAGATGCCATCTGGAATGTTAAAATCCTGCTAGGATTACTTTATCCTCACTGCAGTCTGCAGTTTGAGTTTAGTGACAATTTATCCATGTTAGAGTAGAATTTTTGCTCTGGTAGCTGTCTCTTCTCTGGGGGACTTAAGAACTTGTTTGTCAGCAAAGCACATGGGGGTAAATAAGCTACTATTTTTGTCACTGCTGACTGCATCCACTAAAATGCCATTTGCAGATTAATACTGGTATAGCGTTTTTGTCCCCAAAAAGCAAGTTTCTTCTGAAACTGGCAGGCAGGCAGAAGGAAGTGACAACTGCAGAAGGGCTGTGAATCATGACACGATTGCAACTCCAGGGCGAGTCCACTGCTTTTTTCCACTGCACAGCCCAGAACTGATCTGCTGTAACTCAGATGTAATCCAAGATCTTTTCAGTGTGTGGCTGTTTACATCACTAAGTGCAGAAAATTCCCTGTTTGGGGTGAAGGGTGAGTGTAGGGAGGGGATGAAGTCTTGTAAAAGCTGTCCATTAGTCTTGAGGGTATAAAATATTAGAGCCCATTAGTAGCAGGCATCCATCTGCCCCTGCTGCTAATGCTCAAGATAAGTCTGTTAGCAATAAAAACGTTTGCTGCTTTGAAGCTTCACAGCTGTATGAGCCTATTTTATATTCATCATGTTCTTTGCCTGTCTGTTGTTTTCGTGATAGCATATTGTTGGACACCTGAACTGCCTTCTCCATCCTTCCTGCTAAAATAATTAGGTGCTGCTTCTTCCCCCCCCCCCCCCCCCCCCCAAAAAGCTCTCCATGTAGAAATGTACTGTGTTTGGTGCACGTAGCTTCACTTGGGCAGGCTGGACTCTAAGCTTCCGCGGGTTAACAGCCCTCCTAGCAGGGGCTGTGGAAACTGGTTCAAATGATGAACTTGGTTTTGCACTAACCGGCCAACTGTAAAACACAGCAGCTGAAGGATGAATTTCTGCCATCTGTCAAAGATATAGTTTGGACAGCTCTGGATAGCAATATCTTAATCTTCAAAAGCTGTCTTTAAGAGAAGATAGCTGCTGTAAAGAATAACTGATATATAGCAACATCAGGAGAAAGGGAAGATCCTAGTTGTAAAATAGTACTTTGATGCTCAATGCATTTGTGGCAGTTTGCATAAGACAGTAAGTGTGTTAAAATTACTATGGAGCAGCTGTTCATACCCCCGCTTGCCACATGACAAGCGCACATGAGTTATTCCTCCCCTCTGGGAAGTGCCAGGTAGCTTATTTCTTTC